AATTCATATATAAGAAGAAGAAGAAAGGCAAAGTTTTTTCAGTCATGGCATTCATGTTTCTTTGTCCTGCGTAACAAATCTACTGAATGCCATTTTGAAACTTCACAAACTATGATTGACCTTTGGCCTGACGACTTCACTTTTGCATTGATATTGGCAGGCCATTGGACTGGCAGGTATGAAGAAACCATTGAGGCTTGACCTTACAGATCATAATTCAAAGATTGAAAAAGCAAAGGTTGGACCATTTGGGTCCAGGTTATTTGACTCTGCTGTATCTGTTTCATCTGGTTCAGTGTAAGTATGACCAATAACTCCCTAGGATGTCCATTTCCTGTGTGCACATGTTTTTTCACTGCTATCTGCAATTTGATAGGAGAACACCCAGGTCGTTGATTACTGCCAGGTTGTTTGGGTGCAAGCATAACAACAGTACATAATATTAGCTATTTAACCTGCCTGACCATTCCTAGTGTTCATAAGTTGTAAAGTGTGTATGGCAAACATGTTACATGTAATTCGTTAATGAGAAGCACCACATTACTCGGGAGGTCCTATTACTAGTTTCCATGACTCAATGCATTATTTGTTAGCATCTTAAGCACTTCACTTGCATCTATCATATATGGCTTTATGGCTGCACACTTGTACTGTAGACATAGAAGCATATCGTCCGTGCTATTTGATCTTAGTCATAAAACACAGCTACAGTGATCTCATGCTAACTCATTAATTGTTTACAGGTCAAATGAGTGGACATTAGAGTTTGTTGATTTTGGTGGAGAGATGAGACGAGATGTATGGCTTGCATTCATCAATGAAATTATTTCTGTTTATAAGTTCATTCGTGAATATGGACCAAGCGATGATGATCCAACCATTCATCATGTATATGGTGCCCACAGAGGCAAGAAAAGAGCTGTTAGTAGTGCAACAAACAGTATTGCAAGGCTTCAGTCTCTGCAATTCATACGTAGATTACACGAGGACCCAGCTAAGTTAGTACAGTTCTCCTACCTATCAGGTGCACCTTTTGGTGATGTTGTTCTTCAGACCCTAGCAGTGAGGTTCTGGGGTGGGTCACTGATTACAAACTCGAAAGTGGCAAATGAAAGATCACTTCAAAGGCATAAACATTCAGAAGGCTCATCTAGTGGTCGCTCACAGGTTTTCGACATAGACGGTAGTGTGTACTTAGGCAAGTGGATGACGTCTCCAAGCTGGGCATCAAGCCATTCAGTCAGTTTTTGGAGAGGCTCTTCAGTCAAGCATGGTGTAATATTAAGTAAATCCTTAGTTGTAGCTGATAAAAATCTTGTAGAGAAGGCGATGGTTATCTGTAAAGAGAAGAGCAAAGTAGTTGACAAGACACATGCTACGATTGTTGCTGCTACGGTTGAAGGTATTCCAAGCAATATTGACCTCTTCAAGGTAAAATGGTTTCTCCAGTCAAGCTACTTACTATGATATATCTAGTAGATATGTTATATGTGATTGCCTAGTACGTAGGTCCAATTCTATGCTTATTTTCAAAATCGGATTCCTTCTTTCCTCAAATATAGTGGACAGATAGCGTGTTAATTTTCATTGAGAAAGCAAGCTCTCTGCATCCTGACCAGCAAATCCATGTCTCAGTATATGTTTATTATCATGGTAAATTATTGTAACACCTCTCTTATTTTCTGGGTCAGGAACTTGTACTTCCCTTCGCAATAATGGCTCAAAAATTCAAGAAACTTCAACGCTGGGAGAATCCCCGTTCAACCATTTGTTTTCTACTGTTAGTTTATACCGTTATTTTCAGGTAAGCCAGTTTGCTCTAATGAGTTGAATTTTGAGTTACTGAGGATTTTGTGTGTGCCTTTGGAAGAGGTCAGGAGAGGTCTGCGGTAGGAGATGATTTTCCTTAGTCAAGCAGTGATCACATTTTACATTTTGTTGTCAGAGCTGGTTTAAATTGTAGTCCTAGGAGATAGGGATGCAAAAGAATGCACACCAAAGCACTTTTATACAGTAAGGTGAATTGCAAAATATTTTACCAGCTTACCGTATTGGCATACTATAGGATGATACCGTGACAAAGTTGCATATCATCTTTGCATAATGGGTTCTACTCCCTCCGTTCCTAAATAACTACCAAAAGGTCATATATTTAGGAACAGAGGGAGTAGAAGGTAATAGATGGTCCTTTCAATATCTTTAAAGAAGAATTTTGTGCTAGTTGGCACATTGTCCTATAGACAATTTTCGAAGTACACCACTGCAGGTGGAACTAGAATTCAGGCAATTGGATATTTAGATTTATATGGTTCAAAATCTAGTCCAAAGAATTAGCATGGCATGCTCACGAGTCATGCCGTACCATTTTCTGGTTCCTTTGCCTGTTTGTTATTTATTTTCCAAACTATATGGATCGTTGACATCCAATATTATATAACTATGCACACATAGGCATTGTTGTAACATCCGAGGCTTTTATTATGATTTGTAGGAACATGCTCTTTTATATATTTCCGTTTACCTTGATGGCTATGGCCCTTTCCATGCTTGCCCTGAAAGGGCTGAGAGAACAAGGCCGGCTGGGTAGATCTTTCGGCAAAGTGACAATAAGGGATCAACCACCTTCCAACACAATCCAGAAGATCGTAGCTCTCAAAGAGGCAATGGCCTCGGTCGAAAATTCTCTGCAGCACCTCAATGTCTCTCTTCTGAAGATGCGCACAATCTTTTTAGCAGGCCAACCTGAGGTACGCTCGAATAAGTTTTATTAGTGCTCAAGTAATATTGACCAAAAGGCAAGTAAAAACCAGCTCGCAGGTATGTTAATATAAGTGTCCATGATCTGCTTGACAGGTTACAACTCAGGTTGCTCTCATTCTTCTAGCATCCTCTGCCGTTCTTCTCGTGGTTCCTTTCAGATACATTCTTGCCGTCTCTACCCTTGATCTCTTCACAAGGGAGCTAGAGTTCCGGAGAGAAATGGTGGCGGCGTTCATAAGCTTTGTGAAGGAACGGTGGGAGTCGATACACGCTGCCCCTGTGATCGTGCTGCCATACGAGGGCGACGATAACAGCAACAAGGCGCTCCCTGCAAAAGCTTCCAGGCAGACTGAATCGAAAGACGTGCAAGACCAACGGAGTGACATCTATGTGAATGGAATCCGCCCTTCATGATACCTGTAAGTGTGGGGAGTTGTGTTGTAATGTACAGTTTTTTTGTACAGTTGTAGAATGTACATAACTGTTGGGATGTCCAATTAGGTATAGCTCACACCGAATGCACGGATTTATTTTGTGCTCTTGTAATATCATCTCTTTAGTTTGGGCTTGCTAGAAGATGGTTTGGATAAGAATTTCATATTTCCTCGAGAGGCTAGGAGTTCGTACACATAGAACATGAGGAAACATAAGAGAAGGCAGTTCTGGTGAGTACCGTGTAGTTTTTTTTGCGAGGACCGTGTAGGGTTTTGTCTAAATACTTTTTGGTTTCTATTTTGTAAAACAAAGGTGGGTCACAACAATCAAAACTAAGACTATTGTTGCATGAAATTTCAGCTAGCGGCAAGATTGCATGAAAATTTCTTCTATATACTGTTTGAAGGGGGATTAGATTATTCTTTGCACTTTACTAGGGGTTTGATGCACTGATTTGCCCCATGGTTATCTCAATGATGGGCAGGGAACAGAGTAACCGCCGTATAGAACATCGACCTGTGCTAAATCGGGATATCTATGAGAAGTGAACACAAATCGCAATACTCCACATATCAAAATGAAAGGGTTCAGCTGATGGTGAAAAAAAAGGTGCACTGTGTAGGCTGGGATAAAATGTGCACAGCCAAAAGGGAAGATGGCATGGGATTTAGAAACTATGAAGCTTTCAACCAAGCACTCCCTGCAAAGCAAGCTTGGCGTATTCTGCAGGTCCCTGATTCACTTTGTGCAAGAGTTCTACTCCCTCCGTTCCAAAATAGATGACTCAACTTTGTACTAACTTTAATAGAAAGTTGGGTCATAGATGACTCAACTTTGTACTAACTTTAATAGAAAGTTGGGTCATCTATTTTGGAACGGAGGGAGTACAAGCAAGATACTTCAAAGAAGGATCAATATTGAATGCCTCCTGCAAGGCAGGTGGTTCATACACATTCAGAAGCATTTTGTATGGGCGTGATTTGTTAAGGGGGAAGTCTTCGACCACTGGGTCAAGTTTATATGCACGGCACCACTCGACTCGGGTGTTCGACCTGCTTTCCCCAGAAGATGATGCTAGCGACATTAAACAGATCCCTGTTGGCGGTAATGGCGTTGATGACTATTTGGCTTGGAATTATACTAAGGATGGCGTGTTTACAGTCCGTTCAGCATGTCATCTCCTTATGAGCATGAAAAGGGCGAGGACCGGACGGCCGAAATCCTCGTTAAATGTTAACTCGCATAGGAGCTGGCTCGCTCTATGGGGCACTCATGTTCCCAACAAAGTTGAAGTGCATTCCTCCTAGAGAATAATACGCAACGGCCTAGCGGTGGGTGCGGAGCTGCATATATACTGTACTAGGAGAATCAAACCAGGTATTTTCCACACGGCATGGGGAAGAGAGGAAACTTTGGCCCATCGTTTCTGGACGTGCCCTCACTCCCGGCTATTCTGGTCTGAACTGTCGGAAAAGAGGGGTAGCCAGGCAGTCTATCCGCCATTGTCCGTACACTCGAACAAGGAAGTTGGCCGATGGCTACCGGAATGGCTTGGACAGTGTTGATGGCAAAAATCGTCTGCAGAGCAACACACTCAATTCCTGAAGTGATCAACAATTTAGCCGGTCTTTTCTTTTGCTGTCTTTTGCTGTATGAGGAACAGAACGGCCTTCTTGCTGATCTCAAAGAAAACTTAATTCTTCTGGACGAATCTTCAACGGATCAACGGCAAACGGAACCTAAGCGGCGTCTAGGTCCTGTTTTCCGGGTGCAGCGGCGTAGGGTTGGCTTACTGCCACGGCGATCTCTAAACTTGCAGGCAAGAACAAAGGAGTCGATGGGGAAAAACGAACGAAAAGAAAAGCTATGCGTGGAAATAAAGTAGATATGTTTTTGTCGATGTTGGGTGTCCCTCTACCGGTCTCCGACCCTACCTATATATAGGGCGATCTGGACTTTGATCCTTTGATCAATCAGGAGACCGATCTGGTTACAACTCTGTTTTATAAGATTTGGTCCTTATCTATACATTCAAAATCTAAACAGGAACCTGGTTTCCTTGATAATAAAAATAGTATAACAAGCGACGTCCGCTCCTCTATGTGCTCCAAAATAATCAAGCATATCTCAACCGTAGCCCCGTCTTCATCTTATACCTGATGGTGGTTGTACATGAACAAAACTGGAGTCTAAATCTTCAACTTCCTGTACTCTTACATCCCCAACTCCATCAGCGTGTGTATATCTTCAGTTAAAAAACAATCTTCAGCTTAGCACATTAGCATCATAATCCATATTTTTAATCTGCCAAATTTGACTATCAACACATGCCCCCCTGTTTTTTGGTAAAGCTTGCTTACCAAAAATCATCTGTACCTTGCATCATAATCATTAATCAACAGGTTAATCATTTAGCTCTGACTTTGGGCGATGACTAGCATCGGCCATTTGAATTCATTTTCCTCAGGACGATGGTAATCATGCATCGGCCATGTGTATTATATTTTCTCAGGGCGATGATAACCAAGCATCGGCCGCATAATACTATCATTTAGGCATCTTGCCAAACGCTTGGATAATACTTTTTCAAGTACTTCCCATTAAGAGCTCTGGGCAATTTTTCTCCTTGCAAACCTTGCACTAAATAGGAATTTTCAGGGACGACTTCTAAAATTTTATATGGTCCTTCCCAATTTGGTGACCACTTTCCAAATTTATTATCCTTGGACCCAACAAGCAAAATCGTTTTCCAAACCAAGTCCCCAACCTGAAACGATTTTTCTTTTACTTTCTTATTATAAGCCTTGGCTACTCTCAATTTATCCCTCTCAATTTTTCTTAAAGCTTTCATCCTCTCATCTGACACTTCATCTATTCTATCCATCATGAGGTTATGATAATCTACGGCCGACAAATCATTTTGTTTGGCCAACCTAAGTGCGTCCAGATTTACCTCAATAGGTAAAACGACCTCTTGCCCATATACTAATTCAAATGGTGTCACTTTCGTAGCACCATGTTGAGATATCCGGTGAGCCCATAATGCTTCATGCAACACCTCATGCCACTTTTTTGGATGTTCCTCTATTTTCTTTTTGATAAGCTTAATCAAAATCTTGTTACTGGACTCGGCCTGACCATTGGTCTGAGCATAATATGGTGATGAATTCAAGAGCTTGATCTTAAGTGATTCGGCAAATTCGCGAACTTGATGCGATATAAAAGATGAACCTTGATCTGTGGTTAAAGTTTGTGGTATGCCGAATCGATAAACAATATGCTCTAAAATAAATTTAATCACCTCCTTATGAGTCATATTTTTAAGAGGAACAGCCTCTGTCTACTTTGTAAAATAATCAGTAGCAACCAAAACAAAACGGTGACCTTTGGATGACTTAGGGTGTATTTGGCCGATAAAATCCAAACCCCATCCACGAAACGGCCATGGCTTAATTATAGGATGCAACATAGAAGCATGTGCTAACTGTATATCCCCAAATTTTTGGCACGAATCACATCCTTTATAGTATCTAAAACTATCTTCTAACATAGTCGACCAATAAAACCCAGCTCTTCTTAGTAACCACTTCATCTTATGAGCCGACTGATGTGTACCACAGATACCCTCATTTACTTCACCCATAGCAACTTTCGATTGGTCTGGGCCTAGGCATTTTAAAAGCAATCCCTCTGGTGTTCGACGATATAATTCACCATCTAATAATGTATACTTCAATGCTTGGCGTCGAACCTTTCTATCTACTGATTGGCTAGGATCTTCTAAATATCTAATTATGGGTCTTCTCCAATCATCAGGTCCAGCCATAGAAATTTCAGCACACTGTAACACCGACTGTCCCAGGACATATAATTTTCCTCTACTAACTTGATAACCTGATGCTTGCTGTGCTAGATCATTAGCTTTAACATTCTCTTCTCTAGATATATGGCTAATGGCAAAATCATCCAGAGCTGCTATGATTTCCAAACACTTCTCCAAATAGTTATTTAGCGACCCATCAAAGCATTGATAATTCCCACGAATTTGCTGTACAACTAATAGTGAATCACCAAAAACTCATACACTCCTCACACCCATGGATTCTAAAATTTGCAAACCCAACAAAAGAGCTTCATACCCGGCCTGGTTATTGGTACACAAATATTCTAAGCGTACTGATGTTTCAAAAACAGCACCCCTTGGCGAGACTAAAACAATACCAACACCTTGTCCTTCTCTACAAGCCGAACCATCAAAATATAACTCCCATGGACATATCTCAATATAGCCGAGCTCTATATCATTTTCATCACTAACCCGATGATCAACAATAAAGTTAGCTACAATTTGGCCTTTCATGGATTTTAAAGATTTATAAGCCAAATCGTATTCTATCAATGCATAAGCCCACTTACCGATTCTGCCACTCAAAATTCGTTTTTGTAGCATATATTTGATAACATCGGTCTAGCACGCTATTTCACAAGTACTAGATAGCAAATAGTGTCTCAATCTTGTGCAAGCATGATATAAGGATAAACATAACTTCTCAATAAACACATACCTTTGTTCTGCTTCCAATACACGTCGGCTCAAATATGTGATCACATACTCCTTTTCATCAATTTCTTGTGTTAGGACAGCACCAATAACATTATCTTCCGCAGCAACATACATCCGAAACGGTGTTCCGGCTTTAGGTGCCCTCAACACAGGAGGCGTAGACAAATATTTTTTTGATCTCATCAAATGCATGTTGTTGCTCTGCCCCCCAAGTAAATTCATTTTCCTTCTTCAACCGAAGTATCGGTGTAAATGCACTAACCTTCCCAGACAAGTTAGATATGAACCTTCTCAAATAATTAACTTTGCCAAAAAAATTTGCATGTCCCTTTTACATTGCGGCGCCTCTATTTTCTTAATAGCTTCTATTTTACTAGGATCTATCTCAATGCCTCTCTCATGTACTATAAATCCT